ATGAAAAACTGAGCAAGTACTGATGGACTGATGAACGATAGGACCAGACATGCTTTCAGGAGCAGCCATGGTACCAGGCATCTTTGGTCAGAGATTTATATCTTGGTTGTCTAAAATGAATAGGATGTGTTTTGGAGAAATAAGACATAAGCATATATTGTGAACTAGACATAGAACTTGAAATGAAGGAGAAATATTTATGTAGCATAGATGCTATGTTAAAATGGAAAATATTCTTGAGTTCCTGTTCCCTCTTTATTTGAAATGATAGTATAGATTCAATCCAAATATTTTATAGAAAAATAATGGTAGAATCAATCTGGAAATAGAAATCAATATACTGGATTTCGGTATGAGTAAAATACTTTACATGAGATATTCATTTATTTTTAGGATTCAAACAGAAAGAAATGACTATGGCAGTGAAACAGACTTATATGGACTTGTGTCTAACATTTTGGAAGAACAAGATAAGTCACAGCCATATTTTGCTGAGGGGTTAGTATATTATATTATAAATACAGTATTTAGTATGTAGTAAGCTTTTAAATTCACATATACTAGATTAGCCTATTTATTAACTTTTATTTTTACTTAATAGAGAATCATCTGACAATAGACATCTTAATTCAAGTATTTGTTTTTAGGAGCCTTGATTTTGCTGAGGTACTTGCCATACAATTGAAAGTTTCAGTCTAAGGTTTAATTTGCTATTAAGAATTTTCATTTGGAAAATTATTCTTGCATAATTCAGAGCTATTTCCCTTGAGTTCATGAGCTAAAGTTTGGCTTAAAGAGTATACATTCCAAGGAGCTTTTATAATGTATATCTCAAAGAATAAAACTATCATTTGACTGCTGTGCAGAAATACATATGGATTTTATTCATGTGGTAAAATTTTTTAAAATATGCTTTAATTGTTTTATTTGGGTATGGAAGCCATATTAGCCAAATGCCCTATTTCATAAATAGCAAAGTATGCAGCACACATGTAACTAATTAAAATATTTTGGTTTCAATAATAGTTTCAGTAAAACACATCTTTTTTAATTAAAAAAATTGTGGTCAACAACACTTTTGTATTATATAACAACCTAATTAAAGGAGAAACTTATTTTGTTTTCTGCTTACTGTAGATAAACAATTCATGTAAGACTGTGCAGTCACCAGCCTCAGGCCTAAGTTAATGCCTCTTGGGAAAGTATAGTGAAGACATATTAAGGTTAAAATACATTATTTGTATGGCATATAGCACATTTCAAGTGATAGAGAATTATTTGGATGTAATGGTAGCTTATAAGGCAAAGTTGGAAAGGATTAGAGAATGGTGAGGTGGGGCAAGATAAATATTTTTTAAAACCTTTCCTACCTTCTCCATTGAGGACATAAAGTCTTTTAAAACCTAAGTTGTAATTAAATATATTTACTTGTTCTAGGACCTGCTCCTCCAATTTAAAGTCAGTTTGGCCATTGAACACAAGCAGATTTGCAGATCACCATGACCTCTTAACAGAAACCAAAAGGCCAATAGATACAGCCATCTCTCAGCAAGCTTTTTATAGTGGTGAATCTGTCTCAGCAGCGGAAAAGCCATACCTGTACAATAGTAATCTCACACCACAACAAAAAATAGATGAACTTTATCATGGATTTACTGGTTTAGACCTTGAAGAACAATGGATGTACCCCTCACGAAGTGATCATTCTAACTGTTACAATGTTCAGACAAATGATACAGCTAAGACAACATTCCAAGAATATCCATTTATCAAAAACTGTTTTACACCACAAACTGGTCTGTCTGACATCATGAAAGAATCAGGAGTTGATACTTACCTTTATGGAAGAGAGAAAATATGTGCTAAAAGTCTTGAAGCACCATTACAGCAAAAAAGGGCAGAGATGTTTCTTTCTCAATTTAACAGATACAATGAAAATGCAGATTATTGTAGATACCCAGAATATGCTCATCCTAATAAGGCTAAGCTTAATAAGTGTTTGAATTTTAGTGTCCAAGATAGTAAAAAATTAACCAATGGCACAGCTGAAACACCAACTGTAGAAGCAGACACTTACACAAAGTTATTTCAGGTTAAACCAGCAAATCAGAAAAAAATGGAGGAGGCAATACCTGACCAGCAGAATTTCACATTTCCAAAAGCTACGCCACATCTGACAGAAAAACAGTTTGCAAAGGAAGCAGCATTCACTGCTGATTTTGGCTTAAAATCAGAATATGGACTAAAACCTCACACAGCCTGTTCAGTTAATAGTGATTTTGCTAATGTCACAGAAAAGCAACTGTTTGCTAAACCTGATCCCCCAATCTCTGAGTATTTTAAATCAGTGAATTTATTATCAAACTCGGCAACATCTTCAGGAGCTATCAACTTAAGTAGACCAACTTGGATGAATGTCCAAACAAAAAATAACACTCCTATTCCTTTTCGAAATCAAGGTAACTTGATGAAATTAAATAGTCATTTAAGTGCAGCTTCAAAAGGTTCTAACCATTCTGCAGATTTCCAACAACTATCATCCACAAATTTAACCCAAAATAGCAATTTATTTCAGAAGTATTGCCAAGAAAACCCTTTAGCATTTTCTAGTTTTGATGTCAGTTTCGGTGGTGCAGAAAGAATTCAATCTGTCAATCACATGGAAGGACTGACAAAGACTGGAGAAGAAAATCTCTTTGAATCGGTTACCGATAAAAAAATAAAGCAGCCAAATGGATTTTGTGATAACTATTCAGCTCAACAGTATGGGATCATTGAAAATGTAAACAAACATAATTTTCAAGCTAAGCCCCAGAGTGGACATTATGATCCTGAGGATGGTCCAAAGCATTTAGATGGCTTATCTCAAAATACATATCAAGATCTGCTGGAGTCACAGGGTCATTTTAATAGCCACAGACAGGGAAGTGGAGACAACAATATTAATAGCCGTGTGAATCGCACACAGGCATCATGCTTTTCTAATAATTATATGATGGGAGATTTAAGGCATAATCAGAGTTTTCAACAACTTGGTTCAAATGGGTTTCCCCTAAGATCTACCCACCCATTTGGCCATTCAGTTGTTCCACTGTTGGATTCCTATGATTTGTTTTCTTATGATGACTTAAGCCATTTATACCCTTATTTTAATGATATGATGTATGGTGATAATTCCTTTTCTGGTTTCGTGCCAACTTTTGGATTTCAAAGACCAATTAAAACCCGTAGTGGACCAGCCAGTGAACTTCATATTCGTCTAGAAGAGTGCTATGAACAATGGAGAGCATTAGAAAAGGAGAGGAAAAAGGTAATAAAAAGCTGTGTATTTAGGAGTAACTTAGTATGTCCCCTCTGCCTATCTTAATTTTGTTTACCTTCATGTAGTTTAAGAGTACTTGCCTTATTTCTAAGGTGAATTCTTCTACACTGTGCAGTAGTTATAGTCCATAACTATAAGGAATTAATTAGATGACTTAAAGACTAAAAAGGGTTGGGGTTTAAAAAAAATTATTTATGTAAAGTTTATTTTGCCTATGAAGTAGACTTTTTTCCATAATGGGTTAAAAGTTTATTTCTTTGAATTTTTTAAGTATTATGCTGTTGGAATGTTCAGGTATTTTCTATGAATTAAGTATGACAGAAAAATACTGTGGTACTGTGGTTTGTATTTGTTGTCTTTTGATACCAAAACAAGTTTTATTTAAAGGAATAATTTTCGATTTATTTTTAGGCCTATGAGAAATATTCACGATTGAATCATACTTAGAAAATTCATCATCTAAAAATTATATAATTTTTTACAGACTGAATTGGCCCTTGCCAAGAATTACCCAGGAAAAAAAGTATCCAGTACTAACAATACTCCAATTCCAAGGCTGACTTCCAACCCATCTAGAGTTGATCGCTTAATTGTGGATGAACTTCGAGAACAAGCCAGAGTAAGCTGTAAAAGCATCCAATAATGGATTTTTAAATTGCCTGATAAAATTATAAAACATGTCAGCAAATTAGAGTTCTAAAGGATTTTTAAATCACATTTATGTGTAACTCTCTGAAATATATTCTTTTCCATGTTTGGTCTTAGAATATGATTAATATTTAGGAAGGGGAAAATAGCCTCATTCAATCATTTAAAAAGTAGGTTTAGTAATTTAAATGGTTCCTCTTCAAACCCAAATCACAGTGGAGCTAATCCTCAACAGAAAGCTTTTTTTTTTTTTGGAGGAAGACTAGCCCTGAACTAACATCTGCTGTCAATCCTCCTCTTTTTGCTGAGGAAGGCTGGCCCTGAGCTAACATCCATGCCCATCTTCCTCTACTTTATATGTGGGACACCTGCCATAGCATGGCTTGATGAGCGGTGCCACATCCACACCAGGGATCCAAACCAGTGAACCCCAGGTTGCCAAAGCGGAATGTGCAAACTTAACCGCTGCACCACTGAGCCGGCCCCCAGAAAGCATTTTTTTTAAAGCAAAAAAGGTTTTGAATATTATTTATAGGGGGAGTCCCATTTCTTAGTCACAAACATTTGTTTTCTAGCTTGATGAGCAAGCTGAAGCTGTTGCTTGCATTATACAAGATGGTAAGTTAACAGGGAATTACCATATTTCATTTTCTTAACTCTGCACTCTTGAGTTATTCAACAAATATTAAGTATATACAGCATGTATTAAATATTGATAAACTGAAGTATGTAGATATGCGTAATTTTATAAAATAGCTTTGTTTTGGAAAAGTAGTAAATCATTTCAAATCAAATGTTGTAAAGAATCCTGATTTTAAGTCATTTTGTAATTTAACAAATGACTGTTCCTATTATCTCCTTTGTAATTTCAGAATTTTCTAATCAACTTTAATAGAGTTGGGTAAATTTTTTTTCTTTTTTGACCTTCTCTTAAAAAGTTACAGTTTTCCAAATAAAAATTTGATGAAAATTCCAGAGAAAAAGCATACAGTGAAACAGGTTGTTTCTGTGCTTGAATAAAAGCCGTTAGGAATTAGAAAAATCAACACAACAGTCTATTTTATTGATTATTAGTTTCTTTCTTGTACCATGCTTCTTTAAAATATAGATATGAACTACTTCAGCAGGAAAAGATTGATTTTCCCTAGCTTTCAGCCTTGGTCAATTGAAATTCTTTTATCAAATTTGTAAATTTGTACAATGGAATTTATCAGTGGTATAGTCAGATACTGACGTGGTTTACAGCCAGATGTTATGTTAATAAAAACTCCAGTCTTTTGTTATTTTTTCTTAAAACTGTTCCAAGTTAAAATTCCTTTTTCGGGGCCACCCTGTGGCCGAGTGGTTAAGTTTGCAAATTCTGCTTCAGCGATCCATGGTTTCGCCGGTTCGGATCCTGGGCGAGGACTTGACACCATTCATCAGGCCATGCTGAGGCGGCGTCCCACATAGCAGAGCCAGAAAGACCTACAACTAGAATATATAACTATGTATTGGGGGGGTTTGGGGAGAAGGAAAAAAAGGAAGATTAGCAACAGATGTTAGGCTCAGGTGCCAATATTAAAAAAAAATTCCTTTTTCTCAGTAATACATTTCTAGGCAATAAATCAATGGATTGCAACTGTGGATATTAAGAAATATAATTTTCCCAGCTCTGCTTATGCTTCACATTAATTAGAAGGTTATGTTCATAGCTTTTATAATTTTGTTTTCTCTATATTTATCAACATTAGATCAATAATACACACAGGACAAAAATATTTTTACATATACTACTAGTGTGCTGGTTTTGTATAATTCTGAAAAAAAAAGCTTTTGAAAGTTTATTAAAAATCACCTGTGCAAATTTCTTTCTTTACATTTGTCATTTATTTAAAATGATTGTCTTATTTTAAAAAATATATAATTGGTAGTTCACTGGAGTTTTTTTTTTTTTTTCTTTTGTTTTCCTCTCAAGAATCAGGTTGGTTGTACAGTTGGGAGGAAAATATTTTATACCTATACACTTTTGTTTTCTCCATGGGCCTGAACTGACATAGATTTATTCCAAGGAAACTTGAGTGTGAAGTTAGAGACATTCATTCAGGTGCCTTTCGCTTCTTAATTGAGAGGTATTTTTCTTCTTGCTGTAATCACTGACCACCACCTTCTTATGTGAATTTTAAATCATTTAGCTGCCAAAGGCAATTATTGTATTTACTTGATGTCCAAATCCTAATTATTCAAAACGTTCTCTTTCCTTACACCTTCAGGATTAGAATTTGAAACACGTTAGGCGTATACAACTATGAAACATACTCCCCTTATTGATGTAATATATCCAGTGCGCTTTTTTAAGTTGAATTAAGCAGAGGATTGAGAGACTTCCTAATTTTCCTTAGCAGTTTGGACAGTTACAGGATTTATTTTGTTTTATTTATTATTTATTATTTATTATTTCCACAGTATTTTCTGGATTATAGATTCCTTAAAACTACCACTAGTCAGTATTATGATCTGAATATTTCTGATTTCCAAAAGGAGAACACAGGAGGCCCAGAATGGGCTTGCTGAGGTCAGGATTAATCAATCTAGGACTTCTTTTAGCTCAAATTTTTTTCCTTTGTACTACAATACCTCCTAAGAATGCTCCATTTTCAGGCTGTTCTCTTATTTGCCGAAAACAATGTCGGATTTTATATTTGCATTAACTGTTTACGACATGGAAATGTTTGAATGTTTGACTTTTTTACTGTTGCTTATTCCCAGTAACTGATGACCTGAAAGCTTTTAGAATTAACATATACAAGTTACAAAAAGACTGACTTTCCATCTTTGTTTCCCCCAGCATGGTGTCAGGACACAGTAAGCGTTCAGTTATTTATTGGATGAATATCATTGCTCTCATCTCTGTTCTGCTTCATTGAAGATTTGTTTTGACTTAAGTTAATGACAGGGCAATGTGGTTACCTGCCTTATCAAAATTTAAAATGTTTCCCTCAGGTTGTGACTTTATTAGGCAAAATGGAACGTCTTCGAAGCTCTCCCCTTCATGCCAATATCTCTACTGCTCTTGATAGACACTTGGAGTCCATTCACATTGTACAGTCACGTAGAAAAGATGAAATTGTTAATGCTTCAAATCGGCAAAGGCAAGGAGTTCCTAGATGCCAAGATGACAGAGGTACAAATATTAATGCATATTCTTTTGATAAGGAAATGAGATCATTTGAATGTTAATAAAATCAAATTTGAGGTTAAAAGGTTGTATTTCTAAAATTTACACTTATCTAAAGAATAAATTTGGTAAATGATACCCACATAATTTACTCCAAAAGTACTTCGATCTATTTTAATTTCATCCATTTAATTATAACAACTCTGTCAAAGTCTGTGTTCTACCCAAAGCACAGTCACTGTCATACAAGTCAGAAATAAAATATCAACACTTTCAAATATTAAGTCAAGTACTTTCGTTAGCTCAGTCAATAGCCATTCTTCTTTTATAAAAATAATACTGTTTGACCACTTAGTAGTAGCCCAGCACTGGACTGTGTAAGAATTGAGAGATATTTAAGTGATATCTAATGTGAACTGACCCTGAACGTTTCTTTTACAGATGTTTTTGCCCTTGCCTCAGCCATTAAAGAGATGTGTGTGGCTACTCGGAAAGCACGTACTACACTGTGGTGTGCACTGCAGATGACCTTGCCAAAAACAGCCAGTACCGCTGGCCAAACAGATGTGGAAAAGGCTTTACAAGATATAGTAAACTGTGAAGATAAAGTCCATGAAAGCATAAATAGTAGTAATCCAATGAACCAGAGAGGTGAAGCAAACAAACATTAAGGAATTGCCAGCAGCAAGAAGAATAAAAGCTCATAAGTAAATGTATCAAGACATGCTAGAAAATTTAATGAACTTGTTAAACTTGAAAATTTCAGCACATTAATTTTCTTTCAGATTTAAAGTTAATACCTTAATGAAGTCTAACTTCTATTTAAAAATCTTCTATTTGGAATGAATCAGATATAGTTTAAAGTGAACTTAAAGGTAAAGTTGACTACTCTAGGAGTTCTGAGTAGTCAAAGATAACAAGTTTTAAGTAAATTAAATACTTCCTAACAGCTAAAATATTGCTTAAACCCATTCTGCAGTGTAGGTAAATGCAAATGTGAAATTCTTCTAGAAGATAAGTTTCATTTAGGTCTGCCTTAGTAAGTATAATTCCAAATAATGAATCTATGTGACTGTAACCCATTTATGGCTACAGTCTAGTAACCAAGACAAGTTTTGATTGTGATATAAAAGTGTTTTCCTTACAAAACTGGATAATACCTAGGAAACAGGAAAACAAGGATGAACCCAATATTCATGTAAAAATTTAATATTTAAAATACTACCATATTTATAAATTTGAAATCTTAGTGCCTATATAGCACTAAGGAGGGAGGTATACGGAGGGAAATGCATCTGATTCTCCTAAATTAGTGATAAAAGTGCCAGGGTAAAAACCATGCAAGTTACTGAATATAAAACCTGTTCAAATCATTTGTGTATATTCTTAAAATTTAATTATACTATCAATTATTAAATATTTCCAATTTTAAAGTATTTAAATTGAATCAAAACAAAACATTTCCTTTATCTGGATCTTTTAGATTTGATGCACAGTAACTAAAATAATGACTATTGTTTTAATACCCTTAGTTTGCTGCCTTTTATGAGGGTATCACGAAGTTCTAAAATATTTTTTTAAGGTTAATCTTTAACTAGTTTAGTTTGCAATTGGTTAGTGTATATTTTGTGTAGTTGTGTTCATTAGTTTGCTTCTGTATTTTTTTAAAAGCTCTTGAAAGCTTGGCTTTTTCTGTTTCTCATCACTTAATATCTTTGTATGGAACCTGAGTAATTTATTCTTTAATATGAAATGTTGGTATTATGTGACTCAGAAGATCTTGGGTTTTAACATTTCTACCATGAGTTAAACTGTAATATAATGTACTGATGAAATTTAATTGAACTATCCTTGACTAGAAACACTGATGTTTTAAATGTTGGTGTTTTTTCCTAGTTTTAGAAATCCTGGTATTAAAAAAAGAGTGTAATCACACCACATAAATTTTCTTTAGATGATGTGTGGAAGAAACTGATTGAGAATGCAGGAGTAACTGTAGGGAGAAACATTTTGATCACTGATATGCCTTAAAACTACCCAAATGAATTACATTGAGGGTAGTTAAATAAAATAGATCACCCCACCACAGTCACTGCATACAAAGTGGTTAAGTTTGACATAAGACATGTTGGATGTTATGAAAACAAATATTGTACTGAATTTAGTCTCTCAGGAAAAAAATAAATTACTTTGTTGAAAATATTTGGTTTCATTTTTGTACATGTTTGTATTTGTTTCTAACCTTAAGAGTCACTCATGTCAGAAAACCAATCAAATTTCATTTAACAGATAAGAACTGGTGCTAAATTTTAAATTTCATTAACACATAAGTAAGTTGGCAGATAAACCAATGCCATTCAGATATCCTTGGATCTAACCTTACCTCCTTCAAAGATGAAACGGTCACTTTGCCTTTATGCTAATTCAGGCAAACCAGAATAAAAATTCTGAGGAGGCTTTTACATGACAGTGGTCAGAAATGAAACACTAGACCGTTAACAAAAAACAAGCACAAAAATTCCTTGAAATTGTAATTATGTCACCCTGTAGATAATTTTCAAATTAGTTGCTTGTCCCTTTTTTCGGTATATCTTCTAATGGATAGTTCTTATGTATTGTACTTCTGAATTAAAACCTATGAAAACATTAGAAAATTAACATCACAGAGGATTTGTGGTGGAACATAAAACTGATGCTCCCATCATTTCTAATTCAAAAGAATTTGGCATACTCAATTTTTTTTAGATAGAAGAAGCAATTTATATAAAGGTAGTTGAAAATTACTTTGAATTATATCAGTGTCCTTCCCACTTGAATAATCTGCTACTATACTTTTAGAGGGTTGGGAATTAATGTTATGACTGAAATCTCAAATTTGGCCTAAAATGTTGATCATACCATAGAAGATATGGTTGCTTAAAACTTGCCTTTCGCAACATTGGACATTTTAGACATAAAGGATTTATTAGCACCTGAGTTAAGTGGATAACCTTACTCAAAGCTGAATGAGCTGATCCTTTTTTTCTGTTTAAACGTTAGTTCAAGGGTACACTGAACTGTAACATATATAATAGAGTCTCAGAAGAAAGAATTGACTGTTAGATGGAAACAAGTACCCTTCAGGGGTCCACGGATCTAACCTGACTCTTAAAGACTCAAATTAAAGTGAGAACAAACCAAAAACCCAAAATAAGGGTTAAATTAAAATAGGCTTTCTCAATATGCTGTCTGTAGCCACAGCCTATGGCTGCTGCCACATGAAGGACTAAGACTCCAAGAGTACTTCAAAGGACTGCAAAGCCAACATACTGACTCCAAAAAACAAGGTAATCTTTCTGATACCCTAATACCCCAACTCACAGGGAAACTGAGGCAGAGATTTTATGGATTCCAGGAAGAGGTTCTACTAGTAGAAGGGATTATAGGGCTAATCAAAACAAAGCATAAAGTTAAATTAAATACATTCCTAACTGACTATCCACACACAATTCATTTCCATGGTAGCTGAAAGGAATCAGAGTAAATTGGAAGACAGTAATTTAAATAAAGTTTATTTTTTAGAAAGATGGTTATTTTTTTTTTTAATTTTTGCAATGCCACGGTTATAGGAGTGTATAGAGGTAACACATCTTTTCCTTAACCATGCTGCTTTTTACCTTCTGCATAAAGGTAAAAATTTGTGTTAATCTCATAGTTAATGGTATAAAACAGGTCGGCAAACTTTTTCTCCAGAGGTCCAGATAGTAAATACTTTAGGCTTTGCAGGCCACATAAGGTCTCTGTCACGTATCTTTTCTCTTACAACCTTTTAAAAATGTAAAATCCATTGTTAGCTTGCACCATACAAAAACAGACTGGGCCAAATTTGGCTTGCGGGCAGCAGTTTGCCGACCCCTGGTATAAAATATCTACTTTCTGTCTTGTCAGAGAAATTGCTCGCTTCAGGCAGTCTTCTTGTAGAGAAAGGCCTTATTTACAATTGAATGTGGCTTGTGACAAAAGTAGAAATGGAGAGTTCTTGCTCACTTTTGACTCTCCCAAGCAGTTTTTCCATTCACTCACTCATTCACAATCAATTTGTTGAACACCTACTATGTACACTCTTAAATATCTTTGTGTTAGCAGAGAATTCCAGTGTTTCTTTCTTAAAAGGGCAGTTCCTCCAGTTTCTCTAAACCTGTAATTATCAGGTCTTTATACTCATGTTTTAGGGCAAATCAGGATTAAAATCTCTACTCGCAATCAAAAGAATTCACGATTATAAAAAATGAATCTAGCTAACAATGATATCCTTGCACTCAATACTGACACATCCTTCTTAAAATCACAGCCTAGATGAGGAAAAATGTAACTCTCTCTCCTTAAAAAGATACCTCTTTTCCTCCCATAGGCTGAAACTTTTTTTAAAAAACATTCTCAAATCTAGAACATACACCAAATAATTTCTTCTCATTTTCCTAGCTTGTTGCCATGTAACAAAAAATCTAGATCCAGGTAGGACTCTTCATTAGCTTTCTATTTCAGCCATAAACCAATACACTTAAGGGTAAATACTACTTCTGAAGCAATTTACACTCCCACATTTCATCTCAGGGAAGGAGTGGTCATGACTCTCCTCCTTCAGGATAAAAACTTAACTGTCAGCTTTCTGAATATTCCGGCTGTTTATCCAAGGTGAGGGAAGACTTTTTAAAGTGGCCAAAAGGAGCTCAGGACTTCAGTATTTAAATATAAAGGTTGCGCCCCTTCCAGATCTTTGGTACAGACATAACTACAATTATCTGATTACCCACACCACAGAGACATGGCACATTTTATAATTAGAAGTGTTTGTGGTTTTTCCTTTTGACCATGTAAACAAAAGGGGAAATGCCTTGGCAAACCACTTTGCAGTGTTCTCTCATTTCTCTTAAATGTGTGCA